ATCAAATTTAAATAGCTCGCAAGATCTTACATATTATTTGAATAATGTATTTAATATTTAAAATTATAATTCCGAGTGAAGGCGATAATAATTTTACATTTTCTAATTGCTTGAGGGACATATTCAAAGCAATAAGATTCGTGATCTAATTGCCAGAGTACAGATGATTTAAATTATCTATTTATACCCCAGGGTAATTTTACGACTCCATTTAAGAGTAATATATCCATAATTGTCGCAACCATACTAGTATTTAAAGGAAACTTATGATCAAATAACGTAAATGAGACTTGCTAAAATTATGCATTTGCAATTTCATCGCTTTAGCAGTATCTAAGCGGGGTGTTATTTTCAATGACAATTCGAAATTGTAATTGCTGAATCTTCATACACTTTTCTTTGAATATCGTTTAGAAAGTTTCGATCGTTTTAATGCAATATCAATTTGGACGAATGTGAATTATTTCTAATTCTGTATCATTAATTTTATTATAACAACTTCTAACAACGTTTGTTCTAAGTTTTGTACCTCTCCGTTGCGTCAATAATTTCATGAAGTATGCGTGATTACTTTAGCTTTCAGAGATTGAAGTGTATTGACAGCTGCATTCAGTAAAAAAAGAGCATAAAAACTAGTTTGGTGAAATTACGTTACATTTAAAAATTTTAATAGATAATNATTAACGATGACATGCTCTATTGTTGGTTCATGACTGGGGTCAGTTGATCTGGGGCTAGAATGTCCTCGAGGGTTTGTTTAATAATTTGAGTCACAATTTTCCTGCAGGTCAATATAGCGAAGAATTGATGTTCCTCTTCGCAATTATTCATGTGGGTTCCACGAAGTGCCCGGAATCTTGGACAGTGCTTAAGTAGATGATCAATGTCCTGTCTCACTCCACAGTAAATGCATGAAGCTGATTTTTTGAAATATTTTTGTTGATAGGTCCCGAACACTCCGTGGCCAGTAAGGAGCTGGTTTAAATAAAAATTGGCCTGCAGGCGCTTTATGCTTAGGTCTTTAAAAAATTTATAGGTTTGTCTTCCCTTGTCACTAGACCTCCAGTCATCTCTCCAGCGGTTAAAAGTAATGTTCTTAATGTAAGATTTATTTTCGCATTTTTCACCCGGGATCTCAAAATCAATCTGGCCAATCTTAGTGGCTTCCTTAGCAACCCAGTCGGCCTCTTCATTCCCTTCAATGCCAGAGTTTGCTTTAATCCAATTTATATTATAGTTGCTACTCTACATGGCTTTGATGTCTTCTATAAGTTTGAGGTGTTTACGTGGGTCCTCCAGGCTCATAAGAGAAGAAAGGGAATCTGTGTAAATGCTTGCCATTGGAGAACCCTGGTTTTTAAGCCATTGGAGCGCTGTCTGTATCGCAAGAAGCTCAGCCAGATAAATACTGCAGTTGTTATTTAAACGCGCCGAGATGGTACTGATGGTTTTGCCATTTATCTTCATTACAACACCATATGCAGATTTGTTTATAAGTTTACCATTGTTCTCAGTTTGAATTCTCGACCCGTCTGTAAAGATTTCAATGCCATGGTTAGTTGGAAGAAATTTCCCCCAGGGTAACGCGAGAGAGTTTGAGGGATGAACCAGTTTGGGAGGTAGTAAGAGGTGATCAGGAAAGTACATATGATTTTCAAGCCAATTGATGTCTTCTATCTTTAATTAATGACTTTAAGGGTATAGTTGGTTTATTTTTCAAAATCCGATAACAAATATTTTTCTTGAAGCGTTAATGATTGACACCATGCTACCCAAATTTTTTTAACGCAATTGGCTGTGAATATTTTGGTACGAAATTTGAATGATGTAATCAGTTTCAGTTATTTTTATTTGATAAATCCGTGAAAATTTAATTTTTTTTATAAAATAAATCAAAAGCTATCTAGATTTTTTAAGAAAGAAAACATGAGTTTAAAAAGAATAGTAGAAAATAGTTTTAATTAATAAATAAAGGATTTTGTATCTGAGGAAATATTGGTCCTTTTCAAATATGAAATCGAACATGTATTGTTCGTAATACACGCACTCGTTAAATGAAATTCTAAATGCATTTTCTGAATGAGTACAATGAATAATTCTTTTAAGCTTTGAGCCTTGTTTTAATTTCTTTCCATCAAATTTAACATTTTTAATGTTAGGTAAAAAAAAGTGTTTTCAGCTTTTTTTAAAAAAATTTTTATAATAGCAGGTACGAATAGATAAACCTTATTTTTTGTAAAAATTCTCAGATTCGTGAGCTTTATATTACAGTTTTTGGAAAAACCTAATTCAATATTTTAAAAATAGAAATTTACAAAGCTGATTAAAACTATTTAAAATCGAATTAGTTAAATTAAATAATTTTATTTGCTGTTGCGGAAAGAGATGCTTCAATTTAGTTTGATACTTCGTAATTACTACTCAGCCAAATACTTTATTCGTGCATCAACACTTCAATATATTATTAAATATTCTCCATTGTAAATTTATTACCTCCGTAATTGTTTTTAAATTCAAACCTTATTTGGTTTAAGATAAGTAACATTCCTGTGAAAACATTTTAAAATTTTCCCGTTGCGTAATAAAATTGAACAAACTATACAAATGAATCAGACTGCAAAATTTAAGTAAATAGCAATTTAAAGTAATTGTTTAAAATGATAATAGGGATTTTTTTCTCTAATTTGAATTCATTAATATGCTTCAGTAAATATGAAAGGCACAGAAAGAAATATCTTGATTGCTTTCAAATATCAACTGATATTGACATTCATGAATGAGTTAAAGCAAATACATAATTATACATTTATTAGCAAATAAAGTTTGTACCTTTTCCATTCAGGCAATTGAGTTGTGCCAAAGAACTGAAATTATATTAAAGCTGTTTTGATTTAAAAGTACTCCAACTCATTTCACAAAAATATTATATTTTGCAATTTAGATTTACAGTTGAATTTCTTTTAAAAATGATAAATATAAATTAATTTTAAAAACTCAGGGATTAAATAAACTTTAAAAATCGTCATTTCCTGGAAAAGGTTCATTAGTTATCCTAAACAATTAAAAATTTCTTATGGCAGTCTAGTACTTAGCAATATTCTTTTTGAAATGTTGCTAGAGAAAACTTTTTTGAGGTACTTAATTAACTATTGCATATCACTTTAAAACAGTATCAATTCATCAATCTATTGCAAATTTTATTATCAATTTTGTTTTATATATTGTAATCAAATCCTTTCTAATGCTTTGTAATAAATAAAACTAAGGAAAACCATTCGTAATTTTAAAGCCAATGCCATTTGTATATTTCATAGCCCATTTTAAAATTTGAAGCAAAAAATAAGCTTCTTATTCTCGGACCTCTTCTCTATTTTTTTGAGAAAGTTTTATGAATAAGTAGAAAAAAAAGCTATTTCGGTCAGGAAAGCAAAAGGTTTTAAAAATGCATAGCTATAAAAATGAACGAATTTTTATTTACCCTTTATGAAACAGTGGACTTCGGTTGCAAATTTCAGTAAGGCAACACATTAGCAACTATGACTTCAGACAGTGCATTTGTATGGAAGAGACATACTTTATCTCTTTGTTGCTTAAAGAATAAAGGAAGCATAGGTGCTTTAGTCGTAGTTCAGTTTATTGTTAGCGTTTAGTAGTCAATAGTTTTACATTTATAGTTGTTTGTAACATTTTTGAATGAAATGCAACACTGTGTCAGAAAAGGTCAACACAGGTGTCACTGATGTCACATGACTTCTAATGTATCGAGTTTCATTAAGAATTTAGCACGCTGAAAATTTTGCTACCGGAGATGGCACGCCGAGCCTAAGAGAAGTTTGATATTTTTAAATTTCATATAAAATTACATATAGGAAAATACAGTAAAAAAAATATTTTCATTGCGCAATAAACTCAATTTAAATACGCAAGTTACTGTTAGTAAATATTTGAAAAATTAAATTCTTTTTGCAGTAATAAATACTCTGATAAGAAGGTGCGTCCAAAGCAATCAAAATACGGTGGAGCTTATCGTTCTTCTGGCATTATTAGAGCACCAAAAAGTACCGAAGTACTTTGGTCATGAGTTAGATAAACTTTACAATAAAATAAGGTGTTTTATAATGTGGGAAAAAATTTGGAAAATGCGGTAAAATTTGGTAAATTTATCAAGATACCTGAGAGCATGACATTAAATCCATTTATTCGGTTAAATATAAATTTTCTACTGTGTATTTTTTGCTAAATATGTGGTAATAAGAATTATAATTTTAAAAACAATAATTTCCGATAAACAGTTATCATATTAATGGGAAGAACATCAAATCAACGGTTTATATAATGTATATTTTAGTTTCAGTAATCGGAATTATGTTGCTTTTTATCAGAAATGTACCGTTCAGTACGGTAATTTTGTCACAATTGTTTTTCACCGTGTTGAAGAATTGAAATTTACAACAGAAGACAATTGTGAAAAATATCAATATGAACACACGTGCCATACCTGCATGTTAAAATGTAACGAGAGAATTCCAAAATTGTAAATAATTAGCATGAAAGTGATTTTCAGTGCTTCTATTGTGAATACAAAGCACTTTCAAAGATTAATGCAGGGGTTGTAACAAGTCCAAAGTAAGCAAATATTAATATTAAATATTTTGGAAGCAGTGTCATTGATAAATGTATAATTATTTTTCGCAAACTACATTATATGCACCAAAACCTTTTTCAATAATAATATGTTCTCTTGGTGTACGATAATTTTTAGCAATTTCCCAAACTATAAAATAAAGTTTTTCTTCTTCTTATTTTAAAAGTAATTTATTGCTTGCAAAACGTAGGAAGAATTAAATTCCAAAATTCACACATTTCTGTATCTCACTTTAACTTTTTTGAGATTCAACATGTGTTTTGAAAATAAAGGAAAATTTTTAATTAAACTTTGAAAAAGTATTTAGTTTGTATTTCAAAGTATGTCTAAGAAATCATTTCTTGAAATGTTACAGCAGCAGCAACAGCTTGCAAACAGGATCGAGCTAGGTGGTCCTCCTGAACCCTCCACTCTAACTCAAAGCGTCACCACAAAGCAACATCCGATGAGAGCTCCACCACCGTCTCCAGCGGGACAATATTTACAAGTTCAAGATTTTACATACCCTGGTATGAATCCAGCCCACTACTTAAATTCTCTACCACCAAAACATCATCAGGGAATCGCAGTAATGGCTGCACCATCAGTCACTAACACACCAAAAACGGATCCACAGAGCACACCAGAGGCACAACCATTATTGCCACAAAATCAGAGTGAAGTTCGAATGATGAGTCATCTATGGTCTCCGCCCAATCAGGAGATCTCTGTGTGAGTACGTGGACGAATTTTCTAGTAAGATGCTTAAGTTAACAAAAAAGTAGCATACTTCATAAATATGCATGGTGTTTCGCAATGACTGACCTTAACATACTGAGTTCAGAATCTTTTTCTGAAATGCGAAATTAGAAAACGAAAATTAATATTTTAGTTTAAAAAAATCCCAATCAAAATTGCTTTATAACTAGTGAAGAAGCCGGGGTAAAAAGATTTGAACTATTTTTTTACGGGATGATAATTGGGGTAACTCGTTTTATCTTCAATCAAGCAGTGTTTGACGTTTTTTGCTCCCCATTTCTAAGAGTTGACGGCTTTTTTGTTTTCTTCCTTCGTTAAATATTAATTTGCAAAACTTAATGTGTATATTTTTAAAATAAATTTCAAAGGTGTTGATTATGAAAAAGCTTGAATGATTTCTAAATATTTCAAACAAATTGCCAGATAAATTTTATCTCTTCTTTAAAAAAAGTATTATTCCGTTTAAAATCCAAGTAAAGTAGTTGACAAACTAATATTGTATATACAAAGTAGGTAAAAATATCAGTTAATATCTATAATAAAATTAAAAGAAACCAATGATATCTACAAGTCGTATCAAGGTATAAAACAAGGTATATAAAAATAATTAAAGTGTATATAATTTAACTTCGCAAAACATTTTATAGCAGCTATACTGTTTATTTTTTCGTATGTGCTAAAGTCAAACATCATAACTTGACTACTCCACAACTAAAATATTTTTCTGCTATTATAAATCATATAGCAAACATGTAAAGCAAAATATATGTTGCGTGATAAAAAAAATATTACCCGTTATTGAGCTTAGGCTAGTTCGATTCCCATATGTAAAGTATTGAGTGATATTAAAATGACTTATAGTAACAGTATTTCTAAACTTTTATTTCGGACTATCAATTTTATTATATGAGATCAATTCGAAGTGTGAAAGTTCTTTCCAAGAAATAATAAGCTTTCTGCCCAATGAGATGAAAATAAAACTTAGTAAGTGCACTGCAGAAAATAGTGAATCAAATTATAGTAAAAAGTACAAGGTGCCGCTACTTTTTATATCTCTAATAAAAGTAAAGATAAAAAAACTGATATATCGTAAATTTTACAGCAATGATTACCGTAAAATCACTCTAATTAAATAAATTTTACAGCAAAATGGATTTTATAGATGATGCACCCAAAGGATCTGTATTTTATATCGTAATTTGATCCGGAATTTCTCACTGTGTAATAATCACTGTTCCGTTCATTTCAATTATCCAATCAAAGAGGCAGACTTTTGCAATTTTAAGCAGTCTGCATAATCCAAATTCTAAAAGCAACATTTTAAGTCGAATTTAAAATAAAAAGTATCGAATACCTTTCTAAAGAGAAACTTAATCTTAAATGTGAGTTATTGATGATTATCAAATTTAGCATGGAAAATAAATTTAAAGTGTGAAGCTTCCTGATAACAAATGTTGAGAGCACAAGTGTATGAAGAAGAGAATAACTTTTAGTAAAAAATGAAGTATAGATAATATCAAAAACAAAATAAGCCCCATCTTGTTTGGGAGATCCATCTAGGCTTATGGTCTAGCAATATTTGGAGATAACAAATCCACGAGGATCTATATGCAAGCCTCGGCCTAGATATACTATCGATCTTATAAAACTAAAAAGGAGGCATACGAAGTAAGGAAATAAAATAAATCTGAAAAAATAGTAATTGGATTTCATCCATAAAAAGAAGCGATATAGCAGGTGAAAAAGTTTTGACATGTGATCATCTGTTAGGAAGATGGCTTTTCAAAACAAGCTTTTCTTGAAGTCAATTTTGTGCGGTATTTTTCTAAACTTTATCTTTTTTCTTCTTCATCGAAGCAATGGTGTTTATTTTATCAAATTTTCTTTTAAGTACTTTCCCTTGAGAGTAGAATTAATCAAATTACTAAAATAACATGCTGATAAAATTTTGAAAAAAAAGTGTTTATGTTTAGTCTCCAAGTTTAAGTACCAGGGATCTCCAGATAAGTGAAATTGGACATAAATATTTATTTTTTTAAATATATTATTTCAGCAATAAACTTAATTTCATAAGCGGAATTTATTATAAAGGTTTTTTGTATTATATAACTTAGCAGGAAAATTTGTTAAATTTATTACATACATCCATAGTTGTAATTGAATTTTGGTCTCATGCAAGCAGCACAATTTTATTTTGAGGAATAAAATTAATGCAAACATTTTAAATGCTGCATAATAATGTGTTTGTGGATGCCAAAATATATGATTTCGTCGTTACACTTTAAAGAATTCTAAAATATAATTTTTTGATAATATATTTTGATGAATATTTTGAATTTTTTTTATACAAATTAATTCATTCGAAACACAAACATAAATAAGTACATTTGACTTGAATGAGGTAAAAAGTAAAACAGCATCAAAACAAACATGATATATAACTGAAAGCCAATAATATTAACTAAATTTTCTGAAACAAAAAGTTAATGAAAAAATTAGTTTTCATTTTATTAATTTTTAGCTACGTATTAATTTGAATTTGTCATATATATAATATTAATCAGTAAAATTCAGAAAGTGAATTTTTTGCATATGCTTTTATTAAAATAAAAATATTGATCTGTGTAACATAAAAAAACAATGATTTAATCCAGTTTCTAATTGCTGTTGGAGCATTTTTATATGCCGGGAAATCGTACTGTGGGATCTAATGTTTCCACATTGATTTTCTTATTGTTTTCGAAATTTGTCCATCAGTATAAAATTAATAAAAAACATAAAAGTTCGCAAGTTTTCCTACAAATATTTCTGCATCTAAAATTTAATATTATTTATACTGTTATTATTACGTTTTTTTTATTGTTTTCTAAGTTAAAGGTTTAAAGCTAAGAACTATTTTTTATTGTAAAATAATTTTAAGATACAATTTAAGATAAAATTATTTAATTCGGTGTTTAATCTTATTAACTATTTTGCAATTATTATTTTTTGTGCAAATTACTTTAACATACTATTATAAATTACAGTTAAAGAGGTTCACGAAATGATTTAGAACTTAACTTTGAGCTTAATGCACAATTTGATGCACTCAAAAATAGCATTTAATATATTCATCCGCTTGGTAGCAGAAATATTAAATTACGGAATTAAACTGTTTAAATTTGTTATAACAATATACTTCAAATTTAAAATGTTACTGAAAAAAATATTACTTGCGAAAAGTACTCATGTTCACTAATAGATCTAATAGAATTATATAGGAATTATTTGAACTTGAAAAGTGCGGGCACAAGCATTAGCAAACAAAATTATTTTTTGTAGTTATATGTTAAGTGAATAATTGCAACCTTCGTAAAAAACATTCATGCTAAGAAAAAAAATGCTTCGCAATAATTTTTGTTTTATGCTAAGAAACAAAAATTATTGCGAAGCGATCATCGGGGAGGGTGAACGACTGCAAAAATTGCGCTCAGTGTCTTATTAATTTTTATATTCTACACCAGGAAGAGTACTAATTACTTGAGATTTCTTGTTGTTTTACAAGCTCATCAAATTTTAATCATTTTGATGCGATTGGTTCCTTTATGTTATTTGTTCTTCCATCATAAAATAACTCATATATCTCCTTATATTCATATTATAAGCCAATAAACTACCATAATAACAGTTCTAATCACATTAGAAGTAGCGTTGCTTTATAAGCTCATTTTAATTATTTCAATGTGATTTTATTCCTAATGTTATCTGTGCTTCCATCATAAAATAACTTACACTGTCCTTTATATCCTTATTTTATGCAGTAAACTGCTATAATAAAATTTCAAATTACTTCCGAATTAGCATTGTTTTACAAGATGAATGAATTTTATTTATTTCAATGTGATTTGTGATTTGCACCCCTATGTTATATGTACTTCCATCATAAAATAACTCACATTGTCCCCTTTTATTTATATTATACTAAAGAAAGCTATTATAATTGGAATTCTAATTACTTCAGGATTAGCTTGTTTTATAAGCTCATTAAATCTTGATTTATTTTAGCGTGATTTGTTTCTTAATGTTATATGTACTTCCATCATAAAATAATTCACATTGCCCCATACAGACATTTATAGTATATGCCAGTAAACTGCTATAATAGGAGTTATAATTACTTCATAATTAGAGTTATTTTGCAAGCTCATTGAATTTCAATTTTCAATGTGATTTTATTCTTAATGTTACATGTACTTGCATCATAAAATAACTCACATTGTCCCCTTTTATTTATATTATGCGCCCCATCAAGCTATTATAATTAGAATTCTAATTACTACAGGATTAGCTTGCTTTACAAGCTCATTAAAGTTTGATTTATTTTAGTGTGATTTGTTTCTTAATGTTATATGTACTTCCATCATAAAATAATTCACATTGCCCCATACATTTATAATGTGCGCCAGTGAATTGCCATAATAGGAGTTATAATTACTTCATTTTTAGAGTTATTTTACAACCTCATCAAATTTTAATTATTTAATGTGATTTTATTCCTAATGTTACATGTATTTCCATCATAAAATAACTCGCATTGCCCTATACATTTATAATATACGCCAGTAAACTGCTATAATAGGAATTATAATTACTTCATAATTAGAGTTATTTTACAAGCTCATCAAATTTAAATTATTTAATGTGATTTCATTTTTAATGTTGCATGTATTTCCATCATAAAATAACTCACATAGCCCCTTTTCGTCAGTCAGCTCAAGACACCCCGTGGAGAAACGACCGTATAGGATGGAAACATCTGTGTTTCGCTGAACAACTTCTACACATTCCTCGACAAGACGTGGATGACCACTAGTCGTGCAGGAATAAAAAAAAATTCATTGCCTGCAGGCGAATGAATCCTGCTCTATAACAGGCAAGACTTTGGGTCCAGCAAAGATATTTCATCCGTCCTTCCCGATGTCATGATGAAGAGACGAGATTTCACAGAATCACAGCTGTCCAAAGTTCTATGAAACTATCCATTAAATGGCGTTTCTCTACGTGAGATGATCAATGACCAACAGGAAAACTTTTTTGTTATATGTGCTTTGATATTTGTGCGTCAGTATATATAATTCTTGTTTTATCTTCATGAACAGTACATTATTGGTGGACCGTAAAATCATATGCTGATTCGCACACTCCCAAAGAAAAGGGCTCACTAAAGCACACAATTAAAATGTTTAACTGTATCTCCATTTGTTTTTCTTTTAATTTTTGCGTGTTATTTTAAAATTATTCATTTTTTTTAAATTTATAAATATTTCCAACATGTTTTTTATTTATACATGTTTATTCTAAATTTTTTTTCACTTACGTTAATTAATTTATTACAATACAATAATCTTTTGTATGATCTACAAAAATCTTGACTGAACTGATGGGATCGTTTATTGTTGAAGAATGAAGTTAATAAAAATGAATTAAAGTTATTGTATTTAATAAAATCGTTTATCATATAGTCTAGATATTTTAATTGCGAAAAAAACTACCTTCCCGTTGCATGTTAAGATTTAAAATGTTTAATTAAAAAATTGTTAAAACATCCCATGCAATTTTGTGTTAAAAAAATTCTATATACAAAAATTGAAAGCATAGCAACAATGAGGAATCAATTAGAATTCAAATTAACTATTTTTCAAAAATAAAAAGGATCTATAAGACTTATTATGGGGTCTATAAGACTTATTTTATTCCAATTTCAAATCTTAGTTTGCATGATTGTAAACTGGGCCGTCTTTATGTTACAGAAAAGAGTTCAATGCAGGATAAATTGGATGCAAAATAGGTACCGTTTTAAAAGCTTTGATTTCAGCCCATTTGATATCAAAACTGAAATTTGAAGTTTACTCCTTCTCTGTGGAGAGTTTTAACAGCCATTTTGAATTTACTGAGTACTGACGGAGCTAAAGGAGAAAAAACTTTAACATTGCTATCTAGACTTCTATCGAATAAAATCGATTCTAAGACGATAATAAAAATAGGTCAATAGTTGCAAAGGTTCGTGTAAAGTAACTTATACCTATTTAAGCTTCACTCCATGTAGACAAGCGAAATACCTGATGTTCTGTGTATTCAATAAATTAAAATCAAGATTTTTGACTTATTCTCTCTTGCGCATAAATCACTTACAACTTTTTAACTCTTCGTTCTTTTCACTTAGTTTTGAAGTCTTTGGATTTGCAAAACAAATCAATGAACAGCAATGCTACCACTTGTTTATACAGACACATAAATAAGTTTACATACATAAATTGTATCTTTTTTCTACTTTCATACATGAAACTTTTTTAGCTCATATAATTTCTTAACTAAACTGTCAATCAAATTCCATTTTATCTCATTCAATAAGTTTAAAAAAGTACTTATGATTGAATAAATTGTTTACCTCTGCAACTACGTTAGCCACATACACACATATGAGTACAAACTTGTATCTTTCATGCATAAAGAAACTTTTCAAACTATTAATTCTACTGACTTCCATTTTTTTCTCATTTGGTTTAGCGTAAAAATACAGGAAACAATATATCACTTGTTAAGAAAGCACTGTTTAAGTTTAGCTCTCCTTAGACACCGCCCCCTGAGTTAAATCAATGTGGCTGCTAGGGCTTATTTCAGGGAAGGGAATGAACTTTAAATACTAATAGTTGGACTGGAACATAACTAAAAATACAGTTCTCCCTACCCGTATTCAAGTTAACTGTAAAAATTCGCTTTCTACTTACGGTAAAAAGTACCAGAACTCAAGATGCATTATCCTTAAATATCATTTTTACCGTAAAATTTTATACCGTATATTTTACAGTAATGTTTGCTTAAGTACAGTGATTTTACAGCATTGCAAAATCACTTTATAATTACTCTGAAAATGTCGGTATATCTGATTTTTTTGTTCTTCAATACTTTACGGTAAAAATGGATTTAACAATAATAAGTACTGGCACCCAGATAACCGGTACGTTTTACAGCAATTTAAGTTGGAATTTTTACAGTGTACATAGTTCAACTAGCTTTCACAGTTTATCACAATGATCATTTTCTACTCAAATGATTGGCGGAAAAGCAACCTTTTATCTTTCTTTGAGAATCTGATTTATTAAATTAATTTAAAACAAATCAAAATCTGATTTATTAAATTGTTTTAAAACAAAACATAGTAAACTCATATGTAGTTTTCTCACTTTTAAGGACGAAAATACTCCATGAGATTCATGTTTTATACCATTTTGAAATACTACTACCCCACCTTATATTACACATAAGTTAACAGTCAAAATTACTGATAAAAAATGTTTGAAAAAAATGAAATTTTAGAATAAAAAAAAATCTAATTGCTTTCCTTAACTCATACGAACGTTTGCAGTAAATACAATTCATTAGAAGCATGCATCCTTTATATGATCGATCATATATAGTTAGAAATATATTGTTGATCATATATAGTCAAATGCATATTCTTGATTTGTCAAGGCAGTTTTTCTCTATATATAACATTTTAAGAAGTAAAACATTTTGCAAAGTATTTTTAACTATGGTTGTTTATAGTTAAAATGCTTTTGGAACTAGATTTTCCTTTTTCAAAACTAAGGTTATGTAATGATGAAAAGCTTTGCTGCTTCCTTCATTAGCCGTATTTGATAGTGGTATATATGAATGTTCATTTTGGCCAATATTGAATGAATAAAAACAATAACGTTTCCAGGAAATGATGTACAAATCATTGAATGTAAATTTAGGTTTTATTAATCATAACTTAAGATTTCTATAGTGGCCACTTCATCAATAAAATAAGAAATCCCTTAAAGGGATGAAAAANCCCTGATAACCGGTACGTTTTACAGTAATTTAAGTTGGAATTTTTACAGTGTACATAGTTCAACTAGCTTTCACAGTTTATCACAATGATCATTTTCTACTCAAATGATTGGCGGAAAAGCAACCTTTTATCGTTCTTTAAAAATCTGATTTATTAAATTAATTTAAAACAAATCAAAATCTGATTTATTAAATTTTTTAAAACAAAACATAGTAAACTCATATCCAGTTTTCTCACTTTTAAGGAAGAAAATACTCCATGAGATTCATGTCTTATACCATTTTGAAATACTACTACACCACCTTATCTTACACATAAGTTAACAGTTTGTCAAAATTACTGATAAAAAATGTTTGAAAAAAATGAAATTTTAGAATAAAAAGCATCTAATTGCTCTCAAATTTCCTTTCCTTAATTCATATGAACGTTTGCAGTAAATACAATTCATTAAAAGCATGCATCCTTTATATGATCAATCATATATAGTTGGAAATATATAGTTGATCATATATAGTCAAATGCATATTCTTGATTTGTCAAGTCAGTTTTTCACTATATATAAAATTTTAAGAAATAAAACATTTTATAAAGTATTTTTAACTATGGTTGTTTATAGTTAAAATGCTTTTGGAACTAGATTTTCATTTTTCAAAACTAAGGTTATGAAATGGGATATTTATAGAATTGAAAATAGAAAAACAATAGGTTGGCGTTAGTTTATGGAAAAATTTATAATATTGCAAAATGTAACAAAAGTGAAAATATTAGACAAAGTTAAGCTGATTTTTATTGTTAGCAAGATAATTTTTCTACATGACGCTGAAATGTTTAAGACAAAAATGGTCGCATAGCTATATCATTTTTCTATTAACAAACGAATGTCCTGGATAATTCAAGAATTAAATGTGAAAATTTGCTTCTATTGCTGCAAGCCTTTCAACTAGTATTATTTCTCAAAAGGGAAGGAATCAATACTTTTTAAATCATTTTACTGAAAAAGTTATTTTTTGCTGCTGCACATTCCAGAAACATATCGTTACTGCTTGTTGTCGTCGAATTTAAAAGCTGCTAGCTTTTTCTTTAAAAAAAATGTTCATTTAAATAGAAATTTAAATATTATTTTTGTTTCTTTTTAAAATTGAAATGATTATAAAAGGAGAATAAGGTAAAAGCATATGATATTACAGTAAAGGCATATTAAATGATATTAATGTAAAAGCAAATACTGCACTGATAAAAAAAAGTGCTAAAATTATCTCTACTCTAAATTTATATTTATGGTAAACAAAAAACTATAATTCAGGTACAAAAAAGCAAAATATTTAATCTTATATTAAATAAATATTTAAACCATTCATTTGCCACTTTATTCGTCGATCAGGTATCCGTTTATCGGGTATTCTGGCTTTCAGAATTATAGCTTTTATTACCGCATATTTAGTAAAAAATGCAAAACTAAAAAGTAAATTAAGCGAAATAATTTTTTTATGCCGAGCTCTAACATAACGTGATAAAATTACCATTTTTAAAAACAAAGATCAAATTTTATCACATATTTTAAAACCCTATTTTATTGCAAATTTTACCAAAATCATTATTGAATCGCTTCGGTAAAAATTACCAAGCTTTTTAGTGCTCCCATAGAGCTATGAACACGTTCTTTTTTACCATATTTGGGTTTTTTTTAGTCATACTTTTTTCTCAGTGTGTTAAATATTTTTTATTAAAATAAAGCACTTAATGATGACATGCAGTTTTCATAAATACTGACTGAAAAACTTAAATGTATTAATTAAATTTAATATCCTTTAATGATTAAAGAAATATTAAAAATTTGGCAAAATAAAACATTTAAAACTTTTCTTTGTCTGTCTTGGTACATTAATAAAAGACAATTAATTCATTTAGATCGATGAATCTTAATATAAAGCATTTGCAAAGATGAATCTTAATACAAAAATTTAATCAAGCTCTCCTTCAAACCATCAAGTTCACTTACAACGTTTATCAAATATATTGAGAATATTTCTCTTAAATATTTTTAAAATCAAATCAAGTAAAAATATATCAATGTTCGAAATCATAGTTTCTATTATTGAGAATCTTAAATCCATCACTAAAAAATTAGTAAATTTTTTTAAAAAAAATAAGATATTAGACCTAAAACATGTTGAATTGTATTGATAATTACTAAAACTTGTTATAACATTTAGTTTTTTATAAATAAAATTTAAATGTTTTGTTTAAATGTGTAGCCCAAGTCAGTTTCTTTTTTTTTGTTTTTTTTTCTTTAAGAAATTTAAATCAAGCACTCTTTCAATGCAACTTGATAATTTATTTATGAATTATATTATTTACTTGATAATTTATTTA